AGAAAAATCATAAAAGAATAGGGATCTATGGTCTATGATTTAATGGCAAATGTTCCAGTTCCAAGAGTTCTCTATGAAACTGTGCCTTCGTTTGCGTTGTTTTAAACTTAAAAGTTGGCCCGCGTTTCAGTGATTGATTGTCCTCTTTTCGGTAAATCTATCGACTCATTCGAATCCTCGGACATAAGTTGTACACAGCCATTGATCTGAACATTGATCTGGTGGGGATCACACCCCACACCCATCAACTCCATCACACATTCGAGTGCAATGAACACCAGAATTTTCAAGGTGAAATTAGCTATTAAAGTCATTAAAGAAGAAATTATTAAATGATAGCAATTGTATAATAAAAATCTTCTAGAATAGAAAGAACTTTTAAAGCAGAAATTCCTTGAAATCCGTTTGGATTTGGGGTACATTTCTCCTTATAGTCAGTATATTCCTGCAGATCTTCTAATAGCCGTTGAGCCACTGAAAGGGAGCATTATTTTTAGAATATTAAGATAATTTTTCTCTCTGCCTACGTGATGAATGCTGCGGACATTGACGATCCTCAGATACAGAAAAGATGTTGGAATTCTCTCGAATGTGAATGTGTGCTATATATAGCACTCGGCGGATGTATGGAGCATGGGGCATAAGTCATGGAGCATGGATGGTCCTATGGTTCAAGTACACCCCGTACTCGTATTCGACTCCTTTTGATCTCCACTCTTTGTAAAGCGTTTCCATATTTGTTGCCAGTGGCAGCCAGACATGTGTACATAAAAGGAAGCTGCAACAAACATCTCCCCCTTCTCTCTGTTGCATCCATCTTTCCCCCTCGACTCTCTGCTGCTCGGCCATCAAGGAAGCAGACAAAAAAGGAAATTGCAAAACAGGAGCAGCTGCTGCTGCTGCTTCAGAGCGTGAGAGAAACGAGTGAAAGAATGAGAGAGCCTTGAGTGTGAGTCCCAGTGTGCCGATTTGAGTGGAAAATTCTCCGAACTGCAGATGGCGGATGAGAGGATGCTCATGGCGTAAGGCAAAGATACACGCACACACAAATGCAGATAAATCCACGTTTTGAGCTCGTGCAAACGCTCACGTACTGTCCACAGGGGGCAGGGGTAGGGAGAGGCCATCGATACCTCCGACCGATACCAGGTCGGCGGTGATGTAGAACGGGAACGGACTGTATCTGACAGACGTGACACTTAACGAGTGAAAGGTATGTAAGATACGAGTGCATGTATCTTCAGATATACCTACATATGTATGTGTGCATACATATGTATGTATGTGAGTAGGTCTTATGTACATATGTACCAATGTACGTCTGAATGCCATGTACATAAAATATGTAGTACAGTGCTCTGTCAATAATCGGAACTACCATAAAAGTTAGTACAGTTCCAGAAATGATAGCTAAAGAAAGACATAAAATTCTTCTTTAGTTGCACAATTAAAAAAGTATTCTGAAATATTCTATGCTTGTTATGCGCCAAAATGAATCGAGGGGCGCTGCCGCATTACGCAGAAAATAATATGGATACGAAATTTGAGAAATTTGTATTTCTACCAAATAAGAAGTACAGCCAGGAAGGAAAAAGTTTTGCGAGATATCTAATTTAGAGGGGGATACGAGTGGAAACAACGGATACATATATCCGCTCACTTATGGGAAATCCGTGCGTAATGTTGGACTAAAGGAGATTCAAACCATCACATCTTTCAAACTTTGTCTCCTTCGGCGGATACAGGACACCTATGCAAAGCGTGGTCGTTCGTCTGAGAGAGCATTCACTGTACAACGATCGTAAGCGTGATATGTAGGAATATCTGTGTCTATGCGCATGCCTTGTGCTGAAGCCGTGTTTGTGTGTGTGTATGTGTGTTTGAGGCCCATTTTCGATATCATCCGAAAGAAACAAAGTCTGGTTTCGGAGCAGAGCTCTGGATCGGGGTCGGGTACGGACCCCATTTACGCGTTTCTCATGTCGGAGTTGTTCGTGTCGGCAATGACAACGCACTTAACATTTTTTCCCTCTTACTTCTCTTACTTTTAAATTTTATTTAATTTTTTTTTTCGGTACGTTTTTGATTAAAGTCCGAAAGTGCGCTGTTCGTTTATGGCCAAGACAAGACGAAAAGCCCAAAAAGAGGGCAAGAAATTTTTTAAATTAAAAAGGAGCACGAAGTCACCGCATGATATTATGGGAATGGCATGGTGATGGGAGCGACGAATGATTTTTAAAAAAGGGTCCCGAATCGTAAGACAAAACTTGCGCCGACTCCAATGCGGTTGCACTGGTAAAAAATAAACAACAAAAAGTAAGAAAGACAGCGGGCACATATGCCACTGTCATTGTAATTCGAGAGCCCGGCCGTATTGGGTGGCAATTCTGGCACTCGGTCCCTGCAGTCCGATTGACGAACTGGCTCAGTGGCTAACTTGCTGACTGACACGCTCCACGAGCCAACATATCCGATATCAGTCGGTATTTCAACACACTTATCCGTGGGATGATCTTGATCTCAATCTGAGATTGATATTTGCGAGAGCAAGCATTTATCAGAATAGAAAAATCTAAAAAAAAAATCATCTTGTGCCTTACATTGCCAGATCTGATCGTACCAATCCACAAGAAAGTTTGGATATGATGAGGTATCATAATAATATAAAAAGAGAGACATTTCTTTATGCTTTAAACCTAACTTTTATAAAACTCAAACGATTTAAATCAATCCAATTGTGTTTCCAACATTTTGATGTTTCAGTTTCCACGTTTTCATAGTTTTTAAATACTTAAAATTGTAAATTCCGAAGATTTAATTAGAATCCATCCAGCTGTAAACCATTTACCATTAACCCCCCATATCACAATTTTGGTAAAACTTGATTGACGTTCTAGAATGTGGTCCTATTCTTTATACCAATGAGATCACCTCTATAAGAACCCGCATTGTAGAGAGAGCATTTCTTGAGCGACTCCCACTGAGAGAACCCAAAAATAATTTCAAGTTTTTTCCGCCTCTTACCGAATGCTTTTATCGGAATAATCAAGGTAGAAGAATTGGAGAAGGTGAATACGAAGGAGATGGAGAAAACCTTAACTTAAGACAAAAGCACAAAAAATGTGTGCGTTTCCATTTTGGGAGAAAAGAAAACCAAAAGAAAAGCAAGAAGTGAGCAAAATTAAATTCGAAGCATTCGAACAAGAAGAAACAGAAACCCCACCCGATCCCCTCCCTGCACGTGCCCTTTGAAAAGCAGCCAAGCAAGAAAAGAAGTCAAGTAATCAAAAAAGAAAGAGAAAGAGAAAAATAAAGAAGCCAAAGAAGCAAAAGAAGAAGAAAATGTAAGCTGAACGGCATACAAAACACATCTTGGGACGAACGACAGTTGAAATCTCAAACTTGAGAGAGAACATAAAGCTGTAGTTTTGGTTTTTTTTGTGGTATGGAGACAATATTTTCTCGTCAATTGTTGCTCCAATTTTAGTTTATTCCAAGCGATCACTTTAATTTAAGGCTTAATTCGTTTAAATAATCCAATATATGTACAAGGCGCTCACTCGCGCCCGCTCCCAGTCTCTCTCGCTCAAAATCCACACGCACCACGCTCAGCATGGAAACAAAAACGCACTCCAAGTGAGATGAGCGCAAGAGAGCGCACTCGAGAGAGCGCGGCTTGGAAGCTAAGCATCGAGTCGAGCTGCGAGAGTGAGCGCGTAGCGCTGAGCGGTTCGCGCGCGAGTTTGAGTCCAGCTCGCTTTAGGTTATCTCTCTCGGCTCTCTCGCTCATCAGATTTCGGTTGAATTCATAGAGGAAACCTTGATACCCTCTCTTGATACCCTAAGTGCACACGCCGCTGGTTCGGCAGCAGGGAGAGCGAGCAGCTGCTACAAAAGCCATTCCATTCCCGAGCAGCGGGCCCAAACAACACCACTCAAAATCATTTTCACTTCTGCGGCGTTTGCATCGCATCTGTTTCGTCCGCCCTGCCATTCTGGTCTGTGTTTGAGACGTTGTCTCCCATATATTTTTTGTTCTACGTACGTTTTTATTTTTTGTTCTTTTGTTGCTATATATTTTGTTTGATTTTGCGTTTGTTTGGCTTGGACTGTCTCCAGTCTTTTGGGTGACAGTGTAAAATAGGAGAGAGAGGAGAGAGCGAGAGCGATAACTTTCTGGAGCAACTCCTCTGCGGCAGCTGCTGTTCTGCCGCCGCCGCCGCTGCTGCTGCTGCAGTTTTTTGTTTTAGTTTTTATGTGCGCGGCATTTTCAAGTTTCGTTTCTTTCTGATTTTTTAGTTGCAGCGGCTGCAACGTGACGCGCGCTTTAAACCGCCCCAAAACGCACCACCAAAACCAAAACCACCGCCAACAACAACAACAACAACAAAAGCAACACCAAGGAGAACTGCAAAGATTTTATTTTGTGATGCTGCTCTGCCAAAACCTGTTCTAAGTTGCCCACTGTGCGTGCGTGCATGCGTGTGTGTATGTGTGTGTCTCCACTGCGATTGTTCATGTGTATGTTGGTCCGTATGCAAATTTCTGAGACGCCGACGTCGACGCCGCTGCCACCTGGCAGCTGATTTTGCTTCTGCCATAAGGAATCCAACGCGACACTTACACATGCACATACACAGTACAGCGCCCATTCATGCAAGTACAGCTGCTGGTGACAAAAACATCAAGCAGTGAGATAATACAGCCCAGAAAGCAGTTGGCAAAGCGTCACTCAAGCAGTGGATGAGATCAAGAGCAGTAGAAGGAGGAGGAACACCTAAGCAGCACCTAAGGAGAAGGAGCGTGGCGAGAAAACCATAATCAATCAACGGAATTCGGTGTAAGTTCCATCACTTCCACACATTAAATATTCACTGTACCACCAGAACAAGAGAGAACAACGCAATACAATGTTCTCTTGATTAATTGCGAGAGCTTTCAAGCTGAACTGAGCTAAAGCTTAAGCTCTCGATTAAGCCCAAAGATATTAGGCACGACACACGCGCGCCAGCTAGCTCTCTTTGAGTTGTTGTGTAATCTGCACTGAAACAGCGATCATCTACCAGGAGCTGGGGCGCCAACCTACGGTCCCAGATTAAGCCATTCGATTTCAGCCAATGGTCACCTGACCTTCTATCGGGTAGATCTATATCTAACATCTGTGTTTGTTCTGCGGCCTTTGAGCTTTTTATCTTATTTTTTTGCTCCTGGTCATTATCTCCTCATTTCACTTTCCATCACTTCTTTCTGTTCTTTAACACCATTCTTCTCCCATGGACTTCTGTCTGTCTTCATCATTGTTTTCCAGTAATTATTTTCCCATTGTTCTCCTCATTCTTTTCCTCTTCCTAATCAGTTTTCCACCTTCTTTTATTCATCTTCGTCATGCCATCATTTTCTTCAGTTTCAAGCCTTGATTCTGATCGTCTATCGGCTCGTCTTTAGATGTATTGTTAGAAGTCTTCACCTGAACAGGTTCGGCGACATCTATGGCACGATGATCCCCTCTCCATCATCCCACCCTCCTACGGCCCCATCCCTAGCAACGGAAATGGTCAATTTATGTGGCACAGAGGCGGCTCATTGTTTGAGCATGTGGCTCCAATCAGAAGAGACCCGAACCCGAACCGGAGCCTCTTTCCCTGCACCCTATTATGTGCACGCTATTCTTTGGTTTCCCAATTCTAACGATCCTCCACTTCCATGGCCTCCTGGTCGAGCAGAAGAAGCAAGAAATTGTGGTTGGCCAGCTGCCACGTTTGTGGCTAGACAGCTAGAGATGGAACCGTGAGACGGAACCCAGGGAGATTCCACCCAGTTTTAGGTTCTACAAAAATATTCGATGTCGATGGGGTCTAACGAATCGTATGATTCAATGTTACCTGGTGAATCACTAAAAATAAAACGTGTCCGTTTGATTATGGGAAATTTTGACAGTGAATCAACGTTATTTTAGAGTGCAGCGAGTCGTGCATGCATATCTGTCTCTCTCTCTCTGTCATCTCTAGCATGTCGCACAGGGGCACACACATTCGGAGAGGGCCACTTCCGCTTTTTGCGGCCCAAAAGCTGCTCTTTGGCTAACCAAAAACCAACGGAACAGAACTGAATCGAGCCACAAACAAAACGAGTGTACAATCAGATGCAATTATGGCCTCTGTCTGCTGCTGCTCCGACACAGACTCCCACTGAGAGTCGGATGCCGATTGCAATAGCAATTGCAATTGCAATTACGATTGCAGTTTTTCTGTACTTGTTTGCTTGCTTTTTGTTTGTTTTTGTTTTCGTTTTTAACTAGCATTCATGTTAAGGTTAAGCACTCAAAACACTGCCTGTGACTGCGACAAACAGAAAAAAAGGCAGCAAAAACAATTGAGTATTACGACTATGGGATACCCGCTACTTGGATTCTTGAAACCCTTGCGAATACCCTTATAATCCACAAGCAGAGCGTAAGTATCAACAGTCGTAATGTTTGATGTGAAGGTACACGTGCCTCAATATCATGATATCTGATACACGATTGCTGCACATGCATTGAAACGACTTTAACGGACTCCCCCCTCTTGTGAGGAACGGGGGGCAAGCAAATGAATCGCATTTGAGGCACGTACATAAATAGCCTTCATGCAGGCAATTGCCGAGCCTGACACCTAACCATAAAACAACCCGAAAAATGTGCGAATATACAAATTGGAATTTGTTGGGGAGAAATTGTCGGGAAATTCTGCGGTGATCAACTGTTTGGTCTCCCCATGGCCTTGGCAATGAAAATGTTTGAGTGTATATATAGAAATATTCTGCAGGTAAAATGAATAGTGCTGTGTTGTGTTGGTGGGCGGTGGGGGGACGGAGGGATGTGGGCGGGCAACCTGCCAAAGTCATGGAAGTCAGCGAAGCGTAGTGCAACAGAGGGAGAGGATGTCAGGTGCTGGCAACGAGGCAGAATTTATGTGGGAAGTATGTAGTGCGAAAGGGAAGTGGTTAAGTGTTGGAGGGGGCATGGGATGGTGCAACAACGTGCATTAGAGATTCGTAGAGAATGCAAATCCGAGTGATACCACATATCATTCATTGCAGTGTATTTTTAGAGCAGCCGATTGCGAGAATTATTCTTCAACACTGGCTGACAGCAGAAGACAGCTCTTGCGCAACACTGCTGCGGGTTAGGTAACACTGCTTAAAGCTTTGCTTCGCCCTAAGCACACTTGTAAATCGTTTTGAAATTCTGTTGTAAATGAAACTTGGAAGTCCCTTGGAAAATCAATCTACTGAGGTTATAAACAGACAAATATGTACATATGTCTGTATCATCAAAATTGATCAGTTTCCTATTGGAGCAAAAGAATCGATGACAAAAGAGACAGAATTTGAAACGATTTAGCATAATTGAGGGTCTCCAAGTGGCGCTTGGGTCAAATGTGTTGCACAAAGATCGCATGGGTGGAATCTCCAACATGCCTCGAGGTGCAATGCCCCCGTGATAGAGGAGGCACCGACTGTAGAGACCCAACAGAACCAGACCGAAGCGGTCCGGATTGGAGCTGAGCGGTCCCAGTGGCAAATGGCAAGTGGAGCATATGGCAATTGTTGTTACTTAAATGGCGCATCAATTTCCACAAAAAGACATGGGACGCAACACTCAGAGACAAAGAGAGAGTGAGATACAGAGAGAGAGAGAGAGAGAGATGTCTTTAATTGAAATTGAAATTGAAACTGTCTGAAGATTCTATTAGTTGATGTTGATTTATGCCAAAGTGCGAGTACACATGGGCCCTCTTGCTCGTTGGCTTCGCTTCGTAGTACTCCTCGTTTTTCGGCAAAACTTCAATTGGAGATTGCAACTGTATTTTCAATCAGTGGAATGTACTTCGCAGATATCGCACCGCACCGCACACGTACACTACAAATATTTACTCTATTTGTTTACCTTTTTTCAGTTGATATGCATCGAACGCTGAGCAGTTACAAGAAAAGGAACAAGAACCGATTGAAAGAAACGCTTGCGTAACATCCTTTGTTTTTCGCTCACTTGCCAACACTGCCCGACCCCGAAGCGGGGAATACAGCGAATCCCAGCAAAAAGGACACCCTTCCTTCTTCGATTACCACATAACCAGGCAGCCAGGCAGCCAGCCCGCCCCCTTTCAAATTTGAGATCCAAACTGTGGCAAGATGTATAAGCTATTGGGTAGCCTGAAGAGCTACCTCAAATGGCAGGACATCCAGACGGACAACGCCGTCTTCCGGCTGCACAACTCATTCACCACGGTGCTCCTGCTCACCTGCAGCCTGATCATCACCGCCACCCAGTACGTGGGCCAGCCGATCAGCTGCATCGTGAACGGTGTGCCCCCGCATGTGGTGAACACGTTCTGCTGGATCCACAGCACGTTCACCATGCCGGATGCGTTTCGCAGACAGGTAAGAACTCTCCAAAATAAGTCTACACCACAATAAATACTTAGACGCTTACGTTTAAAACTGCAATTGTGCCTAAAGCCCATAGAAAAGCTGAAAGAGAGCTGTAAAGTATTGCCATGAAAACTCTCCAAGGTCTCCACAAGTCTGCAAACACTCGCCCATGGTTGATTTTGTACCCAATCGATTTTTTCCCCAAATTTTAATAAGGGTTTTTAAGACAACAAAACTGTCTGACAATCTGACAAAAACAATTCCATATCAACTCTACAAACTCTACATTATCTCCACTAGTCTCCAATATTTGATATAATAGTACTAATTTTTTCAAATTTTGCTGTTTAACCACTTCAAGTTCACGATTTTACACTATTCGATTATCTCTACAAAATCTCCAAAGAGGAATATGTTGTCATCAACATTTTATTACCTCAAAAAGCATCTACAAATTCACAGTTTAGCTGTAGGATAATCTCTATAAACTCTACACAAATCCTTAATTTCGCAAAATTACTTATTTGGTCTCCAATCTCAATAAAAACAGTATTTCCAAACTTTTTGGTTATCTCAACAAAGTCTCCAAATAAAAAAAAAAACCTGCCTTTAATGATAAATAAAGAGCTCTTTAGTTTTTGGAAGCTCTTTGAATTCTTTAAAAGTTTCTCAAGTATTTCCGCTTCATCCCTTATGGCACTTCCTGTGCGCTTCCAGCACAATAGATAGGATTCCTCCTGGATGACTGCCAAAAGCTCTTTTCTGTCATGGGAGTGGATATGCCAGGTCTGTCGATCTCTCCCCCTGTATACTCTGTACGCGGAGCACGTCCGACCCTTGGCTGGAGGTACGAGTATTATATGATATGGACACACACACACACATAATTTATGCCCGGCCTATAAAGCAATTATAAACTGGGCGTAGTCTCTTCGTCTTCGGTCGCTTTGGGCCACGCACCGATTTCTACATTCGATCGCAAACAGAGGCGAAAAAATACAAAAAATACAAAAAATACAAAAAAAAACCCCAAATTGAATTCCCGCAGGGATCCGTTCCCTGGAGACTTGGCTCATATTTCATGGGCATGGGCATGGGCATGGGCAGGAAACGACCAAAAATTTGTTGAATTTCGTGGAAAACATTGCACAGACTGCACACCATTGGACTGCCTTAAATTTATTCTTGCGTATCAAATAACCCGGCAAAGTTTAGCAAAATAAGTGAATCTCTTCCAGACAGAAGTGCTTTCTACGTAAATCACTTGCAGTTCAAGAGCAGTTGAATCGAAGATTTCTCATCGATCTGAGAAGAAAATATCCAGAGATCAAATACGATATAGTAGAGATTTCTTTTGTCTTTTTGTACCCACTACTAAGATAAACAATGTTTTTATGTTTTTTTCCTGCAGGTTGGTCGCGAGGTGGCCCATCCCGGTGTGTCCAATGATTTCGGAGACGAGGATGCCAAGAAATACTATACCTACTACCAGTGGGTATGCTTTGTGCTCTTCTTTCAGGTGAGTAAATAGTCTGGTCTGCAATGATCATACGAGTACTCGCACTCGCACTCGTACAAGTCCGCCATCAATGGCCGTCTGTCGATCATTTGCGTGTGTCGTCGTGGTCTCGTTTCTCCAAACTCAACGCAACTCGAGGGAGCGAGCCAGCCAGCCAGCCAGCCAGCGAGCATTCGCTCCAATTAAGTTCAATTGAATGCGTGCCATGCGTGGAAAAAGATAGGGGAGTGCTGGGCATGGGTTGGGCATGGGGCTGGAGGGTTGGGGGCTTGGGTCAAAGAGATGTTTGAGCGCCCTGTTGTGCCATGTCCAGAGCAGAACAGGGCGGCAAAAGTATTCCAACTTGTGAAATACCGAATGCAATTAATGACTTGCTAAATAGCAATAGCCACAACAACAGAAACATCAATGTGTCAATTGCTTCGACAGATTTCAATAAAAAAAGTGTTTATAAAACACACATTCCAACACAGCCAGTGCTCAAACATTGCGGGGGGGAGGAGAGAAGTTTTGCCAATGAGCAAATATGGAAATATGGAAATATGGAAATACAGTGGAAATACAATGAATGATGTTCATGTAAAGATAGATAGATACATAGATAGTCTCCAAACATTTCCACGTATTTGGCATTCAATTCAGAAATACACTGTCTCCACTAATTTCCCCAATTATTGGCCATCTACAGAAGGTCTCCAAAGGGGAATATATTAAATTTAAGCGCTTTTTTACTCGAATGATTAATTCATGTATGTATGTACATATATTTCTGACATTTTGTAGGCCATGGCCTGTTATACGCCCAAATTCCTGTGGAACAAATTCGAGGGCGGCCTGATGCGCATGATCGTGATGGGCCTGAACATCACGATCTGCACCCGCGAGGAGAAGGAGGCCAAGCGGGATGCCCTGCTCGACTATCTGATTAAGCACGTCAAGGTATGTGAGAACGGGAGAATAGTACTCCTCGTGCCACTCGTGTATCTTACGCATATCTCTCTGTCCCATCCGCTTGTAGCGCCACAAGCTGTACGCAATCAGATATTGGGCCTGTGAGGTGCTCTGCTGCGTGAACATCGTGGTGCAGATGTATCTGATGAATCGGTTCTTTGACGGCGAGTTCCTCTCGTACGGCACGAACATAATGCAGCTGTCGGATGTGCCACAGGAGCAGCGCATCGATCCGATGGTGTTTGTGTTTCCCCGTGTGACCAAGTGCACATTCCACAAATACGGTGCCTCCGGGTCGCTGCAGAAGCACGACTCCCTCTGCATCCTGCCCCTGAATATCGTCAACGAGAAGACATATGTGTTCATCTGGTTCTGGTTTTGGATTCTGCTCGTCCTGCTGCTCGGCCTGATGGTCTTCCGGTATGTCGCGCACTCTAGACTGTAACTCAATGTAATTCTAATTGCCGCTTGAATTCCTACAGCGCCTGCATCATCTTTATGCCCAAGTTCCGGCCGCGCCTGCTGAATGCCCGCAACCGGATGATACCCATGGAGATTTGTCGCTCGCTGTCCCGGAAGCTGGACATTGGCGACTGGTGGCTCATCTACATGCTGGGCCGCAATCTCGATCCCGTCATCTACAAGGATGTGATGAGCGAGTTTGCCAAGCAGGTGGAGCCAGCCAAGCACGATCGTGCCAAGTAAATTGACAGCAGCATCAGCAGCAGCAGTCTCTTCCCTTCCCCCCTGGACACCCTTTTCGCGGAATACCCCTGCAGAATCCGCCTCTGATTCTGATTCCCCCTTTGGACTATTAATTTTATTTAGCGCAAATCATTTTAATTAGTGGAAGCCCCAGAGAACCGAACCCAGGCACCTATCCACCACACCCACACACCTCTCTCTCTCACTGTTCTCTCCAGTTCTGTGATTATGCTGAAACTCTCCCCTACGCTACCCTAGCCCCGCCCTACTCTCCTCCCCTTGGGGTCACTATCGTACTACGTCTTATAATCAATGATCACAACTCAAATCGAATCGCTTGGCAAAAAACAGAAAAAAAGAACGACAATCTTTTTTTTGTTTGGCTTCATTATTTTTTTGTATTTTTTGCTTTTTCCCCAACGAAAGATGAGATTTTGCCCTCGGAAATGCATGTGTTTTTTCTGCAAACAAAATCATTTTTTTTCCTAATTTTTAAACAACTAATTTAATACCTAGCTTTTATTTATAATTAGAAACTATAAAAACAAGCAATGAAAAATCCCCATAAAAAAAAAACAAGAACAAAATCGGTAAAAATTCGATATTTTTGCATGAAATTGAGAATTGTTTAAACGCTTCGCAGCCAACAAAATAAATATTGCTTTTGAGTCTTTCATAATAAAAGTTTTTAGTTTTCACGGAAGCGTTTCAACAATAAAAACAAAGAGCAGCTAAAAAATAAATAATCATATTTTTGCTGTTTATTTTTTCAAATTTATATTTTGGGGAAGAATAAAATGCGCTATGTTAAGTTTATTGTGTAGTTTTAGGCGAAAATTGCAAAGGTTTTACATGCATCTATACAGATATAATATGAAATAAAAAACTTTTTACAACTGGCGAAAAAAAAAAATTTTAATTCAAACTTATTTATAGGCGCGCGATTGTGGAACCAGATGAATGGCCTGGCGTCCTCTGGTGGTGAGAGCAAGAACTAAACATATCGCTGAAAATGATTATCGCAACGCTTTTTGGTAATAAGTAAGAGCTATGATAAAATACGATCATGATAAAATTGTATGGATGCGTAAAATTAAAGTCAGCGCTATTTTATGAACATTTAAACAAATAATTTCTGGTGCTTAAAGCAATACGCGATTGTCCAACACTGGAAACACTGTATTGACGTTTACTGCCTATCGATACTGTTTCGGCGATAGCACAAGCCAGAGTGATCGTTTACGGTATGTTATATACTTTTGTTTATATTTTGACGTCGCAAATGAGTTCTGCTGTCCAATTCAAGGTGCAAATCTGTTTCAATTGATGGGATTAAGTTCGGTTCTTAAACGGTATATTTTGAAAATGAGACGGTGTATTTTAGTATATTTCTGAGGGTCAGACCGTATTTTTGATCGGATTATGCGATTTTCTTGCCCCTATGTCTAGCCTCACACACTTTGCAAGTGTTTATACTTTTCATAGCGTTTTCTAGTATTTTTCAGTATATTTTAAGACGCGTTCTGGACTCACCTCTTGTGCAATGCACCAATGTAAAAACCGTGTAGAAATGCCAATTAGAGCCATGTCCCAGGCCACATTAAATACTAATTCGTGATCAGCATAGAAATCCTGATCGTTTGACATCAAAATCTAAATTTTTTCAAAAATGTCGGGGAAAAGGCATGTCAAAAAGTGGTTAACGGAGGCGCTTCCATGGGGCTTATATGGAAAAAACCGGGCAAACATTTTTCCTTCAGGTGACACCTTTGGTAATTACATGAAAATGTAGTGAATATGTAGCACTTGTGTAGTAACCGTGTAGTTACCATGTAAGGAAATTAATTTAGTGGAAATTGTTGACCGGTTTAGCTTAATCCTTATTTTATAAGCCATGCAATAAAGATAAAAACTTCAATTTAATCAGTCATGTAGGAAATTGGATTTTGGAGCCGAGGGTTTTAGCTGGCTAGTAATATTTAACCGAATATCAAAAACGAGGAATATGATGCAACTTGATGACAAATATTTCGTCAGTATATTTTCGGCATATTTTGAAATTCCTGACGTAGTTCGGTATATTTCTGTGGGTCAGACCGTATATCTTTTCGATACATCCGCTGTCACACAGACAAGCGAGAAAAATAAATAATAATTTGCAACTTGGTTTTAATGAAAAACGCCAGCAAATTCATTCAGCGACACATAATATTCGTGATTATTTCGCCTGCACCTCCGCACTCAGCCCCTCGCCCGATCCCCTGTCCAGAAGCAGCAAATCAAATGTGATGTTAAGTGTGAGTGTTTAAAAAAAAAAAGAATGGAAATCCATTAAAACGCCGTAGTTTGAGTGTGTGCGTTCGTGCTCGCTCACTCGTGTGTTGTTTGTGTGTGTGATGTGCGAACGAAATCAAGAAGCAGCAAAGCAGCAAATGCCGCAGCCGAAATGAAAACAGAATGTTGTCGCCAAATAAATAAACAATTATCAATTTCCAAAAGCAGTTTTCAGTTGCGTGCAATGAGAAAACGGAAATGAAAAAAAAAGAAGTTGTGCAAGGCAAACAACAAATGTATGAAACCAGAAACGATTTTGGGGTGTAATGGTAGTGCTCCCAACTTCCCACACCCCACACCTTGCCACTAGCTTATCCCTATCCCTATCCCTGTCCCTGTCCCTATTTTGACTGTGTGGGAGTAAACGAGAAAGCGCTTTGACCAGTTTCCAGGTTGTTGAAGGAGACTTGTAGCCGCAAAATTTTGAGCTTCTTCACATCCGTCCGTCCGTCCCAACCCTTGTTTTGTTATCCCTTTTTTATTTTTTGCGCTCTATGCGCGTGTGTGTGTGAGCGTCCCCATAGTCCGGGAGTTAAATATTCAACCCCCAAAATTGCCCCTCTGCACTGTCCAGGCAAATCACTGAGCAATAACCACCCACCCATTCAGTCAGACGCCCACTCTCACCCCCCAACCGTCGACATTTCGCACTGGAAATTTCTTGCTGGATGTTCTCACTCTCCCTGTTCTTCTTATTCGTCTTGTGCCTCCCCTGCCGCCGTTGCCGCCAGCTCCAGCTCCAGCTCTTTGTTATTTCGGTGGCGGGATGAAGCAGTGGCATTAACGGGGAGCCAAAAGTCAGGAGCTGCGGGAGAAGAGAGCAGTAATTCAAAAACTGTCGAAATAAAACGGCTTCTCCACTTTCCTGTCCCGGCCCCCCTGTGCTCACTCTTTGCTCTCCTGCTTGTTCAACCACTTTGCCTCTCTCGCTCACGTTCTCTCTGGTCTCTTTCTTTTGTGCCTATTTCCGCTGCCGCTTGTTAGGTCAGCTCTGCCTCCCGCTCTCACCCACATCACATCACCACTGCTTTCCCCCCCTTTGGGGTCCTATTAAACTTTTGCGCTTCAAGCTCTCGCAATCCTGCCTGACTCTGTGTGGGTGTGTGTTTGTTGGTGTGAGTGAGGGTCGGAATGCGCATAAGTAAGCCGAAATATGAATAGGACTTTGGGACACTGCCTGGAATTGGTTTTAAAACAGAAGTAAATGAAAGGAGGGGGAATATAATTGAGTGTAACACTTTCCGGCTGCTGCTGGTATCGGCTTCTCGGGAAATACAATTCCACAATTTTTTAAATTGCGCAAATTGGCGCGTTTGCGAGCGTTGCCCAACACTAGCCGCATGCAACCCTGCACGCGCAGTGTGAAAGAAGGGAGACGGAAAACTTACACTCACACAAACACACGGGTCGCACACAGGGGAGCAATTTTTGTTATTATTGAACAGAAAGAACATCGCAAAAAAAAAAGAAATAAAAGACAGCTTCCGAAGCTGGGTGCAAAAGCGTGCGGTTGGTTAAAAAGTGTAAATTGCTGTGAAAATGTAAGAGGGTGAGCAAACGCTGAGGTGCTCTCTCAATAAGAGCGGCAGCGGGCCACCAGGCAAAGCCGAAAAAAATTCACTCGCGGGGGAGCATAAAGGCAAAAAGAAGCAGTAGCACCGCAGCAGCCACAGTCGCAGCGGAATCAAAAGCAGCGCAGCCGCCGCTAATTGTCGCGTCGCCGTCGTCGTAGTTGTTGTTGCTGTTCCCAGTGTTCGTGCGCTGCGTCGCAAAAAAGAATCATTTTCCCCCAAAGGAAAATTCGAAAAGAGAAACAAAAAGTTAATTTTTTTCCACAAGTTTTCACGGGTTCGTTCTCTGTGTGTTCGTACATATATATCCATATAAATATATATATATGTGTGGTGTGTGCTGGTGTGTGTGAAAGGCAAAGAACAAGGCGCTAAAAGGCGCAAAGGAGAAGAAGAGGAAGACCGAAGCGAAGCGAAAGAGCAGAATGTGAAGGCGAAAGGAAAACTATTAAAAACGAACAAAAAGGTCAAAAAAAATGTGTGAAAGAGAACCGAAAGAACCGAACAATATGTGGATTAAAAGTGGGAAATCTAGCATGTGTGTGTGTGTGTGTGCGGTGGGGGGAAAAGCTAAAATTAATTTTTTGTTTTTGTTACATTCGCGTGCGTGTATGTGTATGCGAGGGGGGATATGCATATTTGTTAATGTGCTAGGAACGATTCTGTAAAACGAATTTATTATATCTATTAATTCCCAATTTATTAAATATTGTGTTTGTGTTTTCTTTTGTATCCAAAATTGCAGTAGAATCAATTGCACAAAAAAGTGGAGAACACGGAAAGGAGAAGCAGAAGCAGCAGCAGAAGGAAGAAGCAACAAGAAAAACGAGAGGAAATCAATAATAATAATAACAATAAAGCAGTAAATAACAGAAGAAAGGAGAAGCAGAATTGGGAGCCGTAGCGCAGCGGCCGGACCTGTGCCTGTGTGAGTGCATGTGCCGCGTGTGTGCGTGCATGTAGCATGTAGTGTAGTATTGTTGTAACAAACAAAACGAAAGGCGGCCAACAACAATATACAACAAGAAAACATAATGAAAGCAAATGAGCGAAATCAAGCAGCAGAAGCAGCAGCAACCGCGTCCAACATCGACGACGACGTAGCAGCCGCCGATGCCGCCGACGCACGGGAAGCACCGAAAACCGCATGACAAGGAAATGGAAAATTTTGTTAAAAATTCTTTGGAAAAGCGAACCAAAAACGCGAATCAAAAATTAACAAGAATTCAAAGTAAATCACAGAAACAGAGCAACTAAGAAAGAATCACCAGCCAGGTGCCGCACCAGTAACAACAAAGAAGAAGCAGCTAAAGGAACTAAAGAAGAGGAAGAATAAGAAACAGCAGTAGAGCATCAGAAATAAAGCAGTGCCGCTAACGGAGTGAGAAATACAAAGCAGTGCATGAATAGGAATATAAGAAAAGGTGCAGGAAGAGGTGCAGTGCAAAAAGCAGTGGAGGTAGGAAGAAGAAGCAGGAGAACCGGCAGTTTGCGCCCCCGCCCTCCACCCTCACCCACACCCACATCAACACCCTCTCAAACACACACACACACTCTTATCACCGAACAACCAGCAGCTCCATCTCCACCCACTCTCATAGCAGGAGGACTGGGGGATAATACCATGGCAAGCAGTGCAACAAATGCAGCAAGCATCATACGCACAAGCACCAACAGCAGTAGCACTGCTCTGCCATCACTATTCTCCTCTGCCTCCGCCGCAGCCGCTGCCGCTACAGCAGCCACCTCGAAGGACATGGACGGACTGATTGCCATAAATGATAGCGCATTATCGCAACAAATCGAATTTATACTACAAGATGCTCCCATGGAGCAGGATGATGACCATCAACAGCACCACCACCACCACCGGCACCACCATCACCACCACCATCAGCAACAGCAGCAGCAGCATCAGCACCACCAGCCGTCGCAGCAGCAGCAGACGCAGCAGCACCACCACCAGCCGCAGCAGCAGCAGCCGCATCTGCAACCACATCATCAGCTGGTAGTAGGAGCTGGAAGTGGAACAGCGGCGAAGCTCGAGAATAACCACCCACCGACAACAACAACCGCTGCAGCAACCGCAACGGCGACCAACAGCGCTTCCGTTTCCACCTACACCACCACCAGCAACAGCAGCAACAACAACAATCACCTGGAGGAGCATCACCACCTGATGATCCAACAGCAGCAACAGCATCTGCTAAATGGCCGGCGCGTTATCATCCAGTCGACCGGTAACAGCAGCACGGCAACAGTACTGTCCGCCAGCGACATCAAGGAGGAGGAGCTGGACGAGGAGGAAGAGGATCCGGAGCTGAACGATGAGAATCTTCAGGATATCGAGGAGGAGGCCCAGGCGGCCGAAGCCGACGAGGAGCCAGAGACGACCGCGCAGCAGCATCCGCACCTTCAGACTCGCGTCAAGATCGAGGTGGAGGATGACGATATGCCCGAAGACGATGACGATGAGGAGGAGGACGAAGATGAAAACATGTCGGTAGCCCATCTCCAACGGCAGCAACAGGCCCAGGCTCAAGCCCAAGCACAAGCCCAAGCTCAGGCCCAGGCCCAATTGGAATATCAACTGCAAACGACGCAAGCGGGTGGGGCAGGCGCCCAGCAGTTGGTGCAGCTGCCCGCCGGGGGTCTAATGAGCACCTCGAGTACCCGCACTATGACTGTGCCTGTCACCGAGGCGGCACTCGTCCAGCTGCAGCGCCGTCCCGTGTATATCAGCAATGCTGTCGGCGGTCTGTCCGCCGGCACCACCTATGTACGAATGCCAGGAGCGGCCGTGATCAGCCGGAGTCCGATGACGGTGCTGAATGTGGTGCAACAGGCGGCGGCCCTACCCGCCACCCAATTGATCCTGCAGGCCCAGAGCCCAACGCCTCAACAACAGCAGCCCCCACCCGAACAGCATCAGCAACAACAACAGCAGCAGCAGCAGCAGCAGCAGATGGTCATAAACCAACAGCAGCAGCAGGCACAATTGCAATCACAGCAGCCGCAGCCGCACCAGCAGCCGCAACAGCAGCCGCAACAGCAGCCGCAGCAGCAGCAGCTACAGCTATCATCCCATCCCGTGAAGCATCAACAACCATCGCCAGCATCCAGCTCTTCCCCATGCAGCAGTAGCGGTAGCAGTGGGGCCAGCAGCACGGGGGCCACCGCCAGCTCATCGAGCAGCTACCAGTGCATGGAGTGTGTGGAGAAGTTCGAGTCGAAGGAGCTGTTCGACATCCACCGCAGCGGGCACGCCAACAACATGAAGTGCGCCATCTGCAACATGGTACTCAAGTCGCTCAAGAACTACGAGAAGCATTGCCTGCGATGCAAGCCGTACGAATGCCAGATCTGCGGCCGGGTGGTACGCTTCCGGCCGAACTTCATCAAGCATATGCGGGTGCACACGGGCCAGCAGTCGGAGCGGCACAAGTACAAGTGCGAGGTGTGCCACAAGGAGTTCATGAGCTTCGAGTACTTCAAGGTGCACAAGAAGATCCACAACGAGAACGTGAACCTCACCTGCGAGATCTGTGGCAAGGTGTTCAGTGCCCTGGCTTCGCTGCGCGGCCACTCGAAGCTCCATTCGGGGGTCAAGCTGCACAAGTGAGTAGCTCTTTGTTTTGTTTTTTGTAATTGCAATTGGTAACCGCATTTTTGTGCCGCCCTCTTCCCTTTTCAGGTGCGATGTCTGCGGCAAGGGCTTTGGCCAGCGCTACAACCTGAAGATCCATGCCCGCACCCACACGGGCGACTTTCCCTTTGAGTGCAAAATATGCAAGAAGAAGCTCCACACACAATCCTCGCTGCAAACGCACATGCAGGTCCATCTCAGGGACCAGCCGACGGCAGTAGCCACGCAGCAGGCAAAAGCCAGCAGTGCCAGTGTCAATGCCAATGCCAGTGCCAGCAGCCAGAACGGGGGGAGCATCACCAATAATACCAATACTACCACAACTAGCACCACCCAAACCCACACTGGCAGCAGCGGCAGCAACTCGAGCAACAGCAACAGTGCGACAACCGGTACGGCCACAACGATTGTCAAACTGGAGCCGCCAAGCGATCTGGATATGCCCAGCACAAGCAACAACAATCAGCTGCAACAGCAGCACCACTCTCACCACCACCACAACCACCACCACCAACAACAACAGCAGCAGCAGCAGCAACAGCAACAACAGCAAATGGAATTGGACGACCATTCTGGCCTCAGTGGGGACGAGGATGTGAACTCTTCCTCGCATATTGTCAACTCAACCACCAATCGCTTGACCACCGGTGAGGATTCATCCAATGAGTCCTCGAATGCCTCGCTACACAATCAGCCGCACTCCTCCTCATCCGCAGCCAGCATCAGCTCCTCGCATTCACCATCTATGCTGCAGCAGCAGCAGCAGCAGGTGCAGCCTACAGCATCGTCGCAGTATCTCATGTCCACGCCCTCACGGACGATTGTCATCAAGAACTACATGCAGCAGCAGCAGCAACAGCAACATGCAGGCGCGGGACAGGGGCAGCATCATCAACAGAACGGACCCGATCAGGGGGCTGTACTCCATACGCAGGTCATCCAGAGCGGTGCAGGCACCAGCAGCAGCGGCAGCAGCAGCAGCAATGGCAGCGGGAACGCCATCGTTAGCAATGGTACACAGCAATTGATACGCAAGACGCCCATCATTCATCACTCAACGAGTGGCAGTGGCAGCGGCACGCTGAGCTCCGCTTTGGCCAGTGTGGTGCAGCAACAGCATACAGGAGGTGCAGGAGGTGAGTGGGAAGCCCCTTGGAGGCTTTCGGAGAGCGTAATTAAATGTTGTACTTTCTATTATTTGTTCACAGTTGGTTCGCCCGCTCAATCGCCACAGTCATCGTCGTCAACGTCTGGCTCCTCCACCACTGTGCTGGTGTCCAAGGCCACGGGTGTACCCCTATCGATAGCATCCTCGGCAGCGGCGGCGGCCGCCCTGGCCGGTTCCACTATCATACGGAGCACACGCAGTCATAATCATATACAGCAACAGCAGCAGCAGCATAGCAACAGCCAGAGTCAGAGTCAACAGCAGCAGCAGCGTGGGTCAGGAGCTGGGACGCAGCAGCGCAATAACCACCGAAACCACCACCGACGTCGTCATCTCGCAGACATGGATGATGACGACGATGACGATGAGGACGAAGATGCAGCCACAGCAGCCGCTCAATTGCAGTTGCAGCGCCATGGCCAACAGTCGTCGATGTCCGCCAGCCCCCACCACCACCAGCATCAGCAGCACCATCATTCACACCATCAACAGCATCAGCAGCAACAGCAGCAGCTCCATCATCATCATCACCATCATCATCACAATCATCATTTCGATGATGACGATGACGATGAGAAATCATCACCGTCCCTGGCCACGGCGGCCATCAAGGTGGAACCGAATCTCTACTCCTCCGGCTCCGGCGACAACTCCAACGATATGTTCATCAAGGAGGAGGTGATGTTCGAGGACTCGGCCGCCCCACATTCACCACAATCGCCGCCCAGCTCAAAGTTTCGCATCTCGAACTTCGATGGCGATCTGGTCGATCATCATGTCGATTTGAATCACTCGCTACCGCCGTATGGGAACCTGTTTGAGCCGCATTCGATACCCGATAGCATACCCGTGCAACTCTATCCGGATGATGATGATGACTTTCGGCTGGACCATAGCTCGTTGGGTGGACTTCATAATACATCGTCATCGACCACAGATGGGGACTTTATCAAAAAGGAATGGGTCTATGGCACCGGCACCAGTTCCTATGCCATGAATGGTAAATTCGACGATGACAGCGATGCCCTATGCGATGCTGCAAATTTCATATACAATTGAGAGTGAGCGTCGTCGCAATTGTCGGTCAGCCAGAGAGGAGCGACAGGAATGGAAGGGTACAGGATATACCTGGACATGCATACGCACATTTTGGCAAGACAATTGTTTGGATATATGTACATCATATACGATAGATATATATATCTCTCTCTCTCTCTCTCTCTCTGTCTCTCGATCCCTGGTCACTTCTTCTGTGGCACCGTTTAAACACAATCAATCACACACACACACACCCCCACACAAACAACATAGATATACATGCATAGATATATGTGTGTATGCATATATATATATATATATGCCACACACACCTCTAGATAATTTGCTATTTCTGTGTTGCGCTCGTGATGATCTTAACGTGATCTTAAGTCTAGATATGTGTAGAGTGTAGAATTTTGATATACTCTCTCCCTCTCTCTCTCTTCCTCTGTTTTACCTTCTTTTCGCGCGACGCCCCCCAAACACCCTATATCTTTTTCCACTCTCTGTCTCTGTCTGTCTACCTCTGTTGTAGTTTTTTGTGCATATTGCCCTCTCACTCTAAGTCGCTCACGAAATATATATCCGTCTCTCTCTCTCTCTCTCTTCCTATCTCTGTCTGTCTCTGCTGTCACTGTCCCATTCTCTGATGTTTTGAGTATAGAGTACTCCTTCCACGAAAAACCACTGCTCTTCTTCCTCAATGATGTGTAGTGTAAACGAGACCTGATCCTCCACCCAACCCACCCACTCCTCGCCTCAGCCAAGAACAAAGTTACAAAACAATAATTTCTATTATTAAAAAGGGGTTTTTCTTCTTCTCTTTTTTTTTTTTGTTGGAGAAATCTCTCTATATACGGCTAGCGTCCAGCACACTGATCCGCCAGATATAGTAATAATACTATATAGCAGTTATATATATCATTCTGTATACGATTTAATCTTTAGTTTAATTAGTTTTTTGCATTTGATCTCTCGCTTCCACTCAACTTTGGTTTTAATGTCTGCAACCCAAAACGAAAGAAATGTAGTTCCTGTTTAATGAGGAAATCGTATGATAATTTTACATATAAAACATATAGATTATAGGGCGGTGTGGCTTGTGCTGGCAGCCAGCTCTATATGGAAAGATCTCTCCATTCACTTTGTGTGACTTCTAAAAAGAATGTACAGTATTTTGCTTCAAAAAAAAAGATAGCAATCGAAACTGAAAGCAAAATGATCCATCTCGTATATTTATAATGAATGTGCACTTCTGATTCGATTTACAATTTTTTTTTTACTTACCTAAAGCGCAGTATTTGTTGGTCCTTCTATTCGAGAATCCATTGAATTTTTTTATTTTAAACCACATACACACATCCTAATACATAAGTATTTAGTTTTTAGTGTAATAAGATATTTTTTTGTGTCTTTTTTTTTGTTGTTTATAATTTGGTTAAGAATTCAGTGCTCGATTTGTGCCGCTGCTTGTATAACAGCGCCGCTACCTTAAAAACTGTTCTAATGTGCAATCTCTCGCTTGCCCCCGTCTCTCCTCACCCCACAAACCCCTCCCCCCCCCTCTCCCCCCTCTCAGACGAACCCTTAACTAGTTTCTAAGTTCTACAGATTCACACAAACACACACATATGTATATTCTTATATGTATGATTTGCATTATATATGTAACTTTAACTGTAAGCCTAAGCCCCCAACCATTTGTGTGTTGTCTCATAAGCTGGAAGAGCATGCTTTTAGCCCTAGCTTTACCCTAACAGACGACACTGCTTGTAAAAACATATAAAACACACACACACACTCACACACCCTCCACATATACATAGATAGATCTTTAGCGTTAACAACTTTAATTTGCATTTACACTCATTTTTTATGTACTCGCTTGTATTTCTCCTCCTTCGTTTGCAGAGAGACAAACAATTAAAAATAATTAAAAAAAAAACAAAAACGAAAAGCAAACAGAACGCAACATATGTATATACATATATGTATGTATGTATATATGTGTTGCACGATGTATATGGGATTGGAAGATGAGGATGCAATAAGAGGAGTACATTTAACATAAACTTCTATCAAAAGCATTTAATGTTAACAAAAATAAAAACAAAAATTCATAATAAATCGATTATAAATTAATTACAAATATATAAAGTATATAACAAACAAATTAGCCAACAATTTTAAAATTTAGCTGAAGAATTGAATTATGTTTGTTTTTTAATTTGTGTTAGTTTTCGAGTAGACGATTCAAATTTGTCCCCCACCTCCCACGCCCCCTTTAATTTCGTGCATTTTACGCTGCTGCTTTTTTGCGCATCATATAAAAAAAAATGATTAATATTGGTAATTGTTGTTGCTTGCCATTTTGTTTGTTACTAAAAGAAATATATTAACAAGATCATTAAGTACACACACACACAGACACACACACACAAAACACATAAACATGTACGTATAGAGAAAAGCTCAAAGGAAAAGAAACAAAACAAAAACAAATGCGCGCAAAAAATAATACGTTTTACATTTTGAAACCTAACTTTATGGATTTGTCTTCCGCACGCACGTTGAAACAGGGGTTCGAGTCCGTTCGAATGCTGTTCGATTTATGTACAAATTGCCAATCGTAATCGGCGATTGACGATATCAACCGATAATCGCTAGACCTAGCCCTAGACCTCCCCTACCCGTTTACATTGCATTCTTTGCTGGAAGATTGGCGGCAATAAATCAGAATGAGAGACAACAAAGAATGTTTTGAAAACGCCTAAGAAATGTGAGCACTGCCCTGCCTGAGAGAAAGCCCCCAAGCCTACGCCTAAGCCCCTCATTTGCCGCCAGCATTCTGAAAAGAAAATTTGAGACCCAGAGAAGAAGAAGGAAAGAAAAATTAGTAGTGAGTCCTCCCAGTAGCCCGGCCCCCTGCCCCCGCCCCCGACCCGTAACAAATCTCAGTTGAACTAATGAAACAGAAGCAATTTAAAATTAAAACAAAACAAAAAAAAAGTTATACATTTTTGTACATTTGAAAAATGAAATAGAGTTACAAAATAAAAGAAAAACTATTTTATATACCAAACAACAAAAAGGAAAACGATCGACAAACACCCAAACAAATGAAACAGCAAACAAATTTTGCACCACAACAACAGAAACAACAAGAAAACCGAAAGCAACAAACAAAAAACAAAAAACAAAAACAAATGATGTAACTTTTAACATTTAAAATCTCAACGACTGCGCACACAGCAACAAAACAAATTTTTTGTATTATATTGAAAAGAAAACGTGAAGGCAAGAAAACCTTACATAATAAGAAGAAAAACGAGAGAAACACGTACACGTAGGGGAAAATTCAGAAGAGAAGAGGCGATTTGATAGATGGAAAGCAAATAAAGTGAAATATTTTTTTAAGTGTAAACCAGGCCCGTCACACGGCTTGGTCGCCAAATTTTCTGCAATAAAAATAAATAAAAAAACAAAAACGATAAGAAAATATACAAAAAAAAGAAAATATTGTAAACTTTATAGGCATATACACACACACACACACACACATACACAGAGAAAAACTAACACACATAGACATACGTCACACTGAACTTATTGTTAGGCTGCTGTTACACGACACATTTTCCAACGACAGCGACATGTCCTAGATAATCGTTGCCTTCCATCCGCGAAGTATGAAATTTTGAGATTTTGAGATGTTCCCGAATGGGTGAATGCATGATAGGGAAGCGTATTCTGTGACTAAAAACAAGCGATGTGAAAACTCGGAATTCATCGGTGGAGAGGTATCGTTTAACAGCAGCTGTAGGGTAGGAAAGAACAAGTATGGAAGAGTTTGGGTAGAAATTAGGCCGGGAGTAGAGGAGAAAACAGACAGCTTCAACAGTCCAACAACACAAAACAGACGTATATATATATTTGTATACGTATTCGCAGAACTTCCACAGAGATCTGGCAAAAATATGATATATGATTATTTTTCTTTGTGAAACAAATTATGTTTTCCGTAGGCGAAAAATTGTTGGTTCTTAAACACACGTACACTTAGATACGGGTATATAGATGTATAGTGATGTATGAATAGATATGTCTATATATTAGGACCCAAGATGGGGGAGCGTAGAATAGGGCCAGGCCTGGGCCCAAAACTTAATCGCCTCCTCTCTTGAAGCGGTCCTGGTCCACACACACACAAGCACACGTACACAGAAATACATTAAATGTCATAAGTTTTGTTTTTTGTTGTTTTTTTTAACATAAATGTACCTAAAAAGCAAACAAAAGCAAAGATAAAAATAGTTTAAAAGAATTGGGAAGACAAATCAAGAATAATTCCAATTTAAAATGATTTTTCGATTCGAAATGGAATAGAAATTTTTGGCAACTTTATATAGATTGAATATATAGCCGCATATATTTATTTATATATTTCTATGTGTCGTCCCCACCCCTTCCCCCGCCCCTGTGTGTAATTTTGCAACTCAAAATTCTTAGAAAACAAACAAAAACAAATGAAAAACGAAAGCAAGAGAATGTTATAATAGAAAAGAATTATTTTTAATGGAGGAAATGGCATTTGTTAGGCACAAAATCAAGCAGAAGAGCCAATTTTTTTTTATTTACGAATTTGTTAAAAAAAAAAAAAAAATTAAAAAAAAAAACATGATATAAAATAAGAGAAACACAAGGAAAAACACGACTTTTTAAAGCATTTTCGAGAAATATTGAGGAGTAAAGGAATAAAACCGAAACCGAACAATTTCAATCTGAACAACAACATAAAGCCCACGAAAGTATATATATATATATATAAATATAAATAAAAGTAAATAAAAGTATATATATATTTAAATAAATTATGTGTAACAAAATGGTAAAGTAAATTAAACAAATCGTATTTATATACTATGAATGTCTAGTCGTATTTTCAGTATTATGTAAACCTATCCCGATCCCACTCCCTACCCCCCCACAACAACCATACTCCAGGAAAAACACAGTAAAAACTATTAAAAAACACACACAAACAATATATAGAGAAAGCTAAGCTAAATGAATGTGAACAAATATAAAAAACAAATTTTTGAAAATTAAAAATTAAAAAACTAAAAAAAAAATATATTATGTGTGTAGTGTGTACAATAAAAAATAACAAAAAAAAAAAATAAAGAAAAAAAAAAATAAAAAGAATGGTGGAAAAAAGTGAAAGGGAGGCGGAAGGCAAAAAACAATATGGTAAACAATTTTTAGAAGCATTTTTAACACATACAAAACCCAAACTAAATGTTTACAAAAATATCGAAAGTAACGTATATGTATATATACACCTATATATACATATGTATATGTATATGTGTATAATGCAAGTGGCAGAGGAAGAAGAAAAATTTAAACGAAATGTGTCTGTTTTTAGTGTTAGATTCGATGTAAGAAAAAACCCACAATAAAACATAACAAACAAATCATATATATAGATATATATTATATACATACATCCAGAAAAATCATTAAAAACTACTAAATCAATGTGTGTAAACAGATAGAAGAGATCTACGAATATATAGCTATATATATAGATATATGTATATATACATATATTAAAACAGAGAGTTGGAGAGAAGAAGGGACAGATGTGTTGGCTTTAAACAAAATAAAAAACAAAAAAAGGAACTACTACATATACGCAGACTTATATATCTGTGTATATAGTCGCGCTGTATACATACGTATATATATTATTACTCTTAATTTTTGTGTATACATTTTTTGTGAATTACAATTAATACTTTGCTAAACCGACTTTAGTTTATAAAAAAATATATATACTTTAAATACTACGATTATGATTTCTCATTTAAATCGATTTTTATTTTATATTTTAACCATAACACCAGCAAAAATATACATATATATTTTGTCAGAATAAAATCTGTGTTTCTTTTCCTTTTCTTTTTCGTTTCGTTTCGGTCCCTGAGGAGTGAAGGTTCATATCAGCATAAATCATATGTATATCTATATATATATCTATATGTGTCATCATTTATATAAATGTAAATTGTATTTGTTAAGCAAAACAAACACAAAGCAAACAAATGGAAATTGAAATGGAAAAATGAAAATTGGCGCAATTTGCTCAAGCCTATTAAATCGAAGAAAACTAAATTCTCTTAAACAAAGAAACAAAAAAATTTTCCTTTCCCTGTATATCCTCAGTTTACTATCTGTTTTCTCTCTTCTTTTATTAATAGTGGAAATTTTAAAGAATTTAGTTCAACTAATGAAAAAGAAAAACAATTTAGAAGAAGATGCTAAAACAAGAAGAGAAACCGTAAAAACTTGCTAAATGGAAATTAATTAAACAAATACATATATTCAAATTCATGAAATAATGAAAAATAATGACAAAAACAAAATAAACCCAAAAAAAAAAAAACAAAAAAGAAACAACTAAAATGAACCCAAAAACAATCTAGTTTTTATTGTAATTCCGTGTCTGTGTGTGTATTTCAGTAATTAATGTGAAAAACAAAAACAAAAAAACCCAAAGTCTAACAATAATAACAAGAGCAACAACAACAAAACAAAACAAAAATGGAAGAAAACCCCAACAAAAAAAATGCAAAAACCTAACGAAAAAAAAAACTCAAAAAAAAAGAACACAAGAAAAAACCCAAAAAGAAGAAGGACAAAACATAAAGAAACTAGCGAAATAAATAAATTACAAAATATTTGAAAATAAAACAAGAAAAAAAGAGAAGTGTGGAAAAGTTTTTGATTACATTTCGATGGGATCTGCTCTCGGGTTTTTCACATAGGTACAGACCCCCCCCCCCCCCCCATCTGTTCAAATTACATAAATAAATTCTCTTTCCATTCCTGCACGTACTGAAACGGCTCGGCTACGCATGTGACGCGGCATGCGGCAGCGCCCCTCGGTCTTTTTGAGTTTCTGCCTGGTATCCGTTCACGGAACCAGATCTGTTAATTATGGTGTCCAGTTTTCTATGCGTTTTGATGGCTCGGACTTAGGGAAATGTGGGATACGCGTACATCTGTAATATTGGTCTTATAACGCACTTTCTTTGCAGATAAGATCTATTCTTAATTGGTCGTAATTTAAGTCAGTCGTGACCGGGCTATAGTGTAGTCAATGTGGGCCACAGTGTCCACGGTTTTTACTGTATCGAATCGAATTAAATTATATCGGATCCCAAAGTTGTTGCTTTTTACAGGAGATGCGGGTGATTCCAACGCTAAAAGCAGGAACCAGAAATGTTCGCCTGGGATACAGAGAACAAAGTCTGATTAGTCTGATTAAACATCGATCAACTACATTGTATATTGATTATTTTAGGTGCCATTTTGAATATTCCAATATATATCAGTTTTTAGAGTTCTACGAAAACTTTTTATACTTTTTGCCGGCAAAATGTCGTTCGTAAGCAAATCCTTAGTACATTGATCTCTCCCCTGTATGAAAAATGCATTTTAGTAAAATATTCAATGTTTATTAATTAATTCGATTCTCATAATCTTTATATAGTATACATAAATGATAGTTTAAAAAAAAACCTTTCTTTATTATCAGCTAAATCAAATTTTTCTTTCGATCAAATTTCCAATACATGTGTCATATATAGTACTACATACATACATATATACGATATATAGTTATTTAGATTTTAGGTTTACGTTTTTGTTATACCCTGGTACTCGAAGGTTTTTGTTTGTTTCTTGCGTGGCATACAAAAAATTCGTAGAAATAAAAGTAAATTTGCAATTTTTCATGGAAGTTGAAGATTTTCTGAATGGTAGATACTTTTTTTGACTAAACTAAATAGATATATCTATGTATATATAAATGTTTGTGTGTGTGTTTGTGCTGATCGGATATATATATATGTGTGTTCTGTGTGTGTGTGTGAAAGTTTTCTAATTAAATCTAATGTTTCTGAGTGGGGGAGGGGGCTCACCTATACCCCTCTCCCTCTTGTAAATCTATCTACATGTCTAAGGCTTTTTTCCTTCCTGCTGGTGAGGGGGGGGCGGGACTCTGCGGGGGCTGTGCAGAGGGCGTGTGTGTCGCCACAGTGCACAGCCCCCGTCGTCTCCCCGCCCCCTCCCGAAATGAATCATTCATCTCGTCTTATCCATCCATTCTCCTGCTTCCTTTTGTTTAAGTTTAACCAACACCAAGCGATTGCACATAAAAACCCGTTGTTGCTTATAAACATAAAAAATGAACAAAAAAAAAAAAATACAAAATTAATCCTTAGCGATAAATTAGAATTTCAATTTCTTTTAAATCAAAAAGTAAAGTTAGTTTTTTGTTTGTAATTCAAATTCAAATCAAAATCAAATTCTGAAGAAATGCTTAGGCTTTAGACTTAGAACTACCGATAGAGACTAAAATTATGTGTTAACTCTAAGCGATTTCCTACGATTTGTATTCGTAAATCGCCATTTTTGTGGTGTGTTTTTTGTTTGTTCAGTGTATCAGTACGATTGGTGGTCTTTCCTACAAGCTACTATTAATGCAAGAGTAATTATTTAAATCAAAGGAAACCATTCACTTTTTAATGGTTTATGGTGTGTATATATGTATGGTATATAGTGCATGGATTGGTTATAAGATACAATGTTTCGATTATTTTGTTGTTGGGCTTTGACTTCATTTATAAACAGCTTTAGTTTACACGCATCTCTCTCTAACTTCTATCTTCTTCGCGCATTTCTTCTTACTTCTATAGTTTGGGTTTTAGTTTGATTGTTATCCGCTTTTTGCCTCTTTACAATGGATTAATGGTGTGATTAAATAATAAATTACATGTGTATGCGGATGTGTATGTGTATGTGTTGCTTGTATATCCTTTTTCCTCCTTCTACTTTTTTTTTTGTTCTCTTTTGCGGTGACAAAATAAATGCCAACGTTTGCAGCTTTTGTTTGTTGTTTGTTGTTCGGTTTCTAGCTCTAAACATCTTACAAATAAGCTATATCCTAGCTATATCTCTATATATATATATATATATATATATATGTTATATTCATGATTTTTGTATTACTTATGTGTGTGGTGTGTGTCTGCTCAAAGCATTTATCAAAAAAAAAAAAAACTCTTAAAGCTAAGAAAACTATTTAGGGCAAAACATTTCCTTTCTTTTCTTTTCCTGTTCTGTTTTGTTTTTTGACTAAGAGAAGGTTTTCCAATATTACAAACAAAAATAAAAAGAGTTCACTTATAAAACAACGAAAGGCGGAATTCCATCATTAACTAAATACGAAAATTGTTAAACAAATGTTTAAGAGCATGAGAGAGTGAGAGCGATTTTTTGCACAGCAAAGTGTTGTTGTAATCATCATCGACTAAATCTAAATCTAGGCAAAAAATATACAGAAATTGTGTAGTGCTATTTGTAATCTCCAAAGATCTTCCTCCCTTCTACTCTCCTCTCCGCTAGCTACAGCAGAGGGCGGTGTGGGGGTGGTTTTGTGGTGGGGCATGGGGGCAGTTTTCAGAAAACTTCAAAGTCACATGGTGGGAGTTGGGGATCTTAGGGCTAACTACTGACGATCCACGATTCAATTGTGGACAGGCATTGGCAGCTGTCCGAGCAGATTGTTGGCAAACTGCGAATTGGTGAACTTGAAGTGCCGCTTATCGTAGAACTTAAGGAGCGCCGGCGAGAACGGATGCAGGTCCTTCAGATGCAAATAATGAACCTCTGGCTCGCAGGTCGTGTGGCCGCACTCTTCGCATACGTACATCTAAAGCGCAAATAGAGAGATTAACGGATTGTGCTTTAGAAGGAGACTCTTGTTAATAATTACCTTGGCGCGACGCTCTTTATAAGCATACTGATGCTGGACACTGTGCACTTTCTGGCAGTGCGACTCGAGGGAACAGCGCTGCGTGAAGCTCTTCTCGCACAGATTGCACTTGTACGGTCGGACGCCCGTGTGGGTGCGCGTGTGCCGCTTCAGATCGAAGGTATCGTTGAATCCCTTGCCACAGAACGTGCACAGGTACCGCTTGATGTCCGAGTGGCATTTCATGTGCCGATTGAGCAGCCTCTGCAGCGAGAACGTTTTCATGCACACACGGCAAACGAACTTTCCATTGACTACAGAATCATCACCGGCCTGGCTGGCCGATCCAGATCCCCCCATACAAAGGGCATCCGCGGAGCCGTGGCTACTGGCATTGCTGCTGGCACTGCTATGATGCTGGAGCTGCTGCTGATGTTGCTGCTGGAGGGATTGCTGCTGCTGTTGCTGTTGCTGGAGCGTCTGCTGCTGCTGGGGTGATGATTGCTGCTGCTGCTGCTGTTGCTGCTGGGAATGGTGGCCGTGCTTGCTGAGATCATCAATGCAATCGATGTTGCGTATCCGGTGATGGCCACCATGGGCATTCTCGACAGCCAGTGGATTCTTGATGCCATGTCCGCCATTCACAAACTCCAACTGTAGATCCGGCGGCAGGCCCAACTATTGAAAGAAACAAAAGGACATAGAGAAAAGGAAATTAATGTGCGGTTCATATAAAAAAAAAAACGGAGGGAGTGGATTATTCGAAGGATTGATTGGTTGGGAAGAATAATACGGGCTAAAAGACAACACAGACAAAATACAACGAGGAGGATACACAATTGGATTCGGATTCGGTTTTGGTTTCGGTTTCTGTTTGGTTTTCGCTTACACGCCGCTGCAACACCTTGCTCTGATTGAGCACCGAAACGGTGGGCGATGGGGCACACAGGCCAGCGGCCGTGGCCGCCGCCGCCGTGGCCAACGAACGTAATGTGGTGCGGTGCACCGTTCGTGTGGCCGGCACCTCCGGCGAGGGCTTCATTGTCGATACAAGGGTGATCATCGTGGAGCCATACGCCACGGCCTTGGCTCGACCACTCAGCTTGCCTCCTCCCGATCCGTTGCTGCTGTCTTTCCCTGCAGGATCATAGTCTATGTCTGCCGCCTCCTCTTTTTTATCCTCCTTTTCTTCCTTGACCAGAAGGCAATCGAAATCGTTGGGGACCATTGGTAGGGGCATCACCTTCTTGGACCTGCCTCTCGACAGCTTCGTTAAGCACTGTTGCTGCTCCTCCTTTTGTTGCTGCCCCTCCTGTTGTGGCTGCCCCTC